ATTCTGGAGGAAGAATGCCATAATGGAGCCAGATTTGGATAGGGATCCTTATCCTTGGCTAATCTGGTACATCTGGAAGGCCAGGAATGACAAGCTATTCCGAGGTATTGATAGGGATCCATTGGAGGTCGCACGTTATGCAGAAAGTGAGTGTCAAGCATGGTTCGAAGCAAATGAGCAGGAAAATCTGGTGTCCACTAGGAGCGGAGCAGAGGAGAATCAGACCTTAAGTCTGGGTAATATATGTATGGTGGATGGTTCTTGGACCTCCTCAAATACTTTCAGTGGATGTGGATGGATGTTGAATGACAATTTTGGAAATAGTGAGCTAATGGGGATGCGCAATTTTGATCGAGTAGAATCGACGTTGCATTCAGAAGTGGAAGCACTGCGGTGGGCAATGGAGAATATGCTTCAACATTCGCCATGTCAGAGCTTTGGAACTGATTGTAAGGAGATGATTGAGATGCTCAAGAATCCTCAGGCATGGCCTAACTTCTCAACAGAGCTGGAGAGACTGGAGACCTTGAAGATATGTTTTCCTGACTTCAGGATTATTCATGTTCCTAGATCACAGAATGGTGTATCTGATTCTCTCGCTAAGACAGCTAGGTCTTTCTATCGTAGGCTTGTGTACGTTGGTTGTTTTATTCCGGTCTGGATTCCCAGATCACCTCAAGTTCCTTGAGTAATAGAACAGCCGTTTTGATGTCAAAAAAAAAAAAAAAAAAGACAGATGGACATGTAGTAGTATTACAATCCCTTCTAGATAGGAACTAGAGTAAGTGATATCGACAATGAACGTGTAGTAATATTACAATCCCTTCAAGATAGGAACTAAAGTAAGATAGTCTGATCAACACATTTACACGAAAACTAAGTAATTCTTACTACACATTCTCCCCACCAAAAAATAAATGTCAAGATATATGATATGACAGAGGTAGATGGTATTCTAGACAACACATTTTATTCTAGATATATAAAAAACATTGTATATTACAAAACAAACCAGTTTTATACCAATTGTTCAACAATTTAAGTGTTTCCTATATATTGAGTCTAGTTTTAGTTTTCCATATTGTAAAAATACTCATTTTTAAGAAATAGAAATCCTAAACATACGGGTTATGTACTGTTTGAAATCATCTCATACATTAAAATATGGTACAAAATAATCTGCTGTTGATGTAGCCAATCCATGACAAAGTTTGTTCGTTTTTTTATATTCATCTCTCATTATCTCTTAATTGATTAAGCAATGTTATCATTTGTTCATCTCCTGAAATCAAGTAAACCGATAGTTACAATACTATATAATTCTTAGGAATCTGATCATACCGATTTTAATTGATGAATGATGTACAAATCTAAATAGTTTGGTGTTGGATTCTAGTGACTATATAGTTCAAGTCAGAACATTGAGATCCGTGATTGGTGGATTAACAAGAAGTTAACAAATTTAGAAAATCGCATATCAACATTCATTTTCATTTGATCATATATATTGTCTTCTTGTCCCAAGACATATCTGACGTTTTAATTGCCTTGTTGCTACTCGGATTTTTGTCTTTCAATAGTTACGATGTCTATTATTCTCGAACCGTTTATTTCGGCTCCACCCGGCTTATCCTACTATACGCTGTTACATTTATTTATGTTTCATCCATCACAAGTTAGTTGTTCATGGAAATATCTAATAGTGTCCTGTCTGTCCATGGTTAATAAGTCACTCACACTCATTCGGTTCCTGGATCCCATTTCATCTGATAGACATATGTTAATTTTTCAAGATTCTAAAATCTTGTTTAATGATTCTACAATCACCACATGATCTTATCAATGTTTTAGTTTCATTCGTACGGTATTACGAATCATTTTTTTATAAATCCCATTCTTTCACTATTCTTGAATATGTTTAACCATTGAATTTTAAACGGATGTGCGACGCAAAAGATAAATCAATTTTGATGATACAGATAGCCAAATCAATTCAATTTAAATATTTATGTATATCATAATCAAGGATGTTATGATTTATCCCCTCTCAAAGAAAATAATGTCTCAGTTGTGGCCATAACTTGTCTAAAGACACCTCTCGGGTCAG